CCCCCCCCCACCTCCCCTACTACTCCACAATTTTGGGAATCCCGGCAGAACAGCGCCGTAGTAAGCCACACGAAGATACCTTCAGCACTTATAAAAAGTTAAAATTTGGTTTGCTTAAACAGTAATTTTTGCTATACACTTATAGCCGCCATGGCTGCCAATTCTTAAGGCTACTATGCCAGATTTTGACGAACGGTTTCCAGAAATGCGATTTTGATTCCAGTACAGTCTAATAGAATAGAAAGGAAAGAACGGGGTCATGGAAGACCAGCCAAAATTAGTCATTACAAGCAGGAATATCGAAGTTATGGTAGATGTGCGGTGGTAATTTGTGGCTGTCAGTAGGCAAAGCATGAAATAAATAACAACGCGCACTAGACTAGCCGGTCTGCGCCATCATGTGTTTTGTGCAATTCAGCCCATCGAACGATTGCCTATTAATGATTTTCACTGCTTTGTACTTTAGTCTATGCGAAAATAGTTCGAACGTTGGAAAACAGTTAAAAATTTCACACACCAGCGCATGAAAGAATTGAATTCGAAACCTTGAAGGGTGAATGTCTTTATCCCGAGGTAATAGTTAACCCATCAAAACTTTCACGAGGCCGCAGGTGATACTGAAGAGCGCAGGAACGCAGAATTTGAATGGGCAAGGTTGAGCGTGGGCAGTGGGTCATTACTCTAAAATTTCAGCCTACTAGACTCCGCGGTTCCCGAAATATTAATTCACACGTAAAAAACTTTCACGGGGCCGTACGTGTTACCCGCGGGTACGGGGAAGCTGAATTTAAATTTGCGGAGTCACACGTGGGTGGGGAACTTTCCCCTACATTTTCAGCTTCCTAGATTTGTAGTTCCCGAGTTGAAAGTTGCGGAAAAGTTGCTGCGGGGACACACACACACACAATCCCGTGACAACATGCGTTTTGTACTGCTGTTACACAGCACAAAACGCATAAAAAGAAAGAATGCAAACCAAATCAATTGTGGCGAATTCATCGATGGTCAGTGCACTGGAGGGCGTTTGCGAGAATTCATCGAGCCTTTTTCGGACCACAGCTTCACTTATGTGCACAACGTGAACCACATCCGCTACTGTACGATTGAAATTGAAGCATCGTGCAGCGAGCAGCAGTGCCGCGCCACAGAGACCGGTCGGTCGCCGTCCCGTGGCTATCCAGTCACGCTTCATACGCTGCACT